TGATTCGTGATTCATGAACTAGTTTCATGGTGATCAATGTTGCATTGTAATCGAAGTTGATCAGTTTAGTTGGTAGAATGAACATGAAATTGGTGCATAATGGATTTTGTTCGTTATGAAATATACGTATCATGAAACGGGTGCATAGTTAATGAAATAGATTCATGTAAAATAGTTAATAAATTAGTTAATTAAAATAGTTAATGAAATAGATTCATGTAAAATAGTTAATAAAATAGTTAATAAATTAGTTAATGAAATAGATTCATGTAAAATAGGTAATGAAATAGATTCATGTAAAATAGTTAGTAAAATAGTTAATGAAATAGATTCATAGTTAATGAAAAATGCATAATGGATTTTGTTCGTTATGAAATTAATCTGCATGTAAAAATTTCAATGTGAAAATATTTCATTGCAAAATAGTTAATGAAATAGATCCATGATGGTGAAACATTTTCATTTTCTAATTTACCTGATATGGTTGCCTTGAATAAAAAAAATACTATGAATTAAATTTGTTTACCGATTCTACCCTTATTGATGAAATAAAATAAATWTTAATTATTTTTTAATTTTTAATTTCCTAAAATAAAGTAATGTAATCTTAGCCATTGATCAAAAAAAATGAATGGATGATATTGGTTCACACGGTTTACACAAATGAGTCAAGTTTTTATTTGAACGCTCCTCTCTCTCTCTCTCTCTCTCTCTCTCTCTCTATATATATATATATGTAAATTGTGTAGATTAATATATCTGTATAGATAACGAAATTTTTTTAGAGAGTTTTATTCATAGATGGAAAGAGCGTGTCTTTTATCGGAGAGACAAGTTTGGAAGGAAAAAAAACTTTATTTTTTGCATAAATAATCATGCATAGCTAACCGAATAAACTGTGAGTCTTGTTAAATTGCTAGCAAACAGGCCCTTAGTTGGCTGATAAGCTAATTGCACTATAGGAAAATTGGGTTCATCAATGCCACCAATTTTTAAGCGTTCTAATAGAATACTTTATAAGACTTAACTTATATGACCAAACAATAAAATGTCCTTTCTAAAGGCACTGTAATAGATTTACAAGACCCTTTTGTGGGTCTTAATAAGTTTTTAGGACACAACAACAAGATTGGCTTTATATGACGTCTGGATTGTCTAAGCATCATAATAAAATATTTTAGCAAACTTAGGTTTATAAGACGATATTATAAAGCATCATATTTAAGCGTTACAATAGGTTTATAAGACGTTTTTAAAATAAAGTGCTATATTATATATTTTATACGGCACTTTTGAAGAGACAAAAAAATGCTTTATAAACCATCTTTTTACAGAATACTTGTGTTTATAGCACACATTTTCAAATAGTGTCGTATAAAATAGTTAATACGACACTTTATTTTAAAAGTGTCATAAAAAAACTTATTAAAACGTCTAGAAATTCTTATTAACGTATTGTACTGCTTTTAGATAGAACGTTTTTTTTATGGGTTTGTCCTATAAAATCAATTTTAGGCGTATAATTTTTTTTTTGATGTTTCTTAATTTTAGGCGTCCTATAAAATCAATTTTGTTGTAGTGCTGGTAGTTTATCAATTAATCATGTTTAACAAAAAATTAGTTGATAAGGTAATTAAAAGATTGTAAAATAACCACAAAATACATGTTAAAAAATAATAATCTTAACATTATATAATATAATTAAAACAAATTATTAATTATATAATACGTTAATCAATAGAGCTTTAATTTGATTATTAGTTACGTAAATAACTATAAATTGGGCTCGACCACGTTACAAGGAAACCAAGCCTTGTGCAGGCAACGGGCGTCTGTGTGATGAACGAGCCGTGCGGGCCGGCTTGAAGTACAATTCTCATCAAGCGACGGGTAGAATCATTTGCAGACGACTTAAATACGCAACGGGGTATTGTAAGTGGCAGAATGGTCTTGCTGCCATGATGAAATTTCAAAGATTTTTCGGGATTGTCGGCCAAAGCTATATACTAGTTGAATACATCAGTGTAGCCCGCGTGCGGACCAGAACATCTAAGGGCAACACAGACATGTTATTGCCTCAAACTTCCGTCAGTGGATGTTGTTGTTAGGACTCCACTGGTATTCTATGAGAAATCAAAGTTTTTAGGTTCCGGGGGGAATATGGTCGCAAGGCTGAAACTTAAAAGAATTGACGGCGATTTATTTAACCAAATACGGATTTTAGAAAGAAAAAAAAAATACTAATGGTGATTTTGAATACTCATTACACATAATATGAATAAAAAGAAAGTTTATTAATTGTATACATCTTAATTAATTAACAATTTTCGGAAAAATAATTTTAAAACCATTTTTAATTTATTTTATTATATATGAAATAGAAAAAAAAATATTTTTAATCTTAACATAACTTAGAGTTAAATGCAAATTTGGTCTTCGTGGTTTACATAAGTTAACGAGGGAGATCCCTGAAAAAAATATATTAACGAGGAACGTTGTTGGTCCCTTGAGGGTCTACAAGTAGAGAAAAACATTTTGTAGAAAGGAGTTGATGAATACAAACACAATATTTTCAATTTAAAAAATATATTGATA